GGCCCCCCCAGACCGGCCTGTGGGTGGAGGAGTCCAGGACTCTCCACCCCAGAAACGAAGCTCCTCCTGAGCTAAGGCTGATCCTGGGTGCAGGAAGGCACCGGCAGCGTCCAGGAGCACTCCCAGCCGAGCGCAGCCTATTACCAGCCTGCAGAATCATGAGCTGAACTCTCATGCGTTGCAGACGCTGGTTACGCAGCGTGGCATGGCTATGGCCAACTGCAATGATAAGGGGCACATTTTCTCCTCCTTAAGCCTAAACGTGGTCCCAGAGGAGGAGGGTGCCCCAGCAGCACAATAGCCACCAGCCTCTCGCCACCTCGGCTTCTCATCTGCTTAATGTGGCTTTGCTATTGGCATCAGGCTGGCATGTCTGGAGAAACAGAGGCTTCTCATCAGGAATGAGGAAGGAGGCAGGACGTGGGCAGGTCCACACCAGTGTCCATAGCCAGCCCACCCCCCCTGTTTGCCCGGCTGCTCACCTGGTCACAAAGAGGCTGCAGCGGTTGTGTGCTGAGGTGCTTGAGCGAGGCCCCGGGGAGTTCTGGGTGTCTGTGCTTCTCTCTGAAACTAACCAAGCAGCTTGGTCACGGGTCAAGGCCAGGTGAGGGCGGCAAAGAACATGGCTTTCTTGCACGGGGCAGCCCAAAGCATAGGCGGCACCACGGTTTACTAGCCATGTGACCCTGGAAAATTCCCGAAGCTCTCCAGGTCTGTCTACTCATGAGAAAAGTGGAAATGGGAATGACAGTTACAGACAAATGGGTGGAGGGCAATGACAGGGGAAAGCAATGCCTAATGCCAGGGAGCGCTTTGTTCGGGACAGCAAACTGTAACATTAATCAAAAATAAATAAAGCCCAGATTCAGCTGAAAGGTAGAAAACAGATGTGAAGGGGTTTATTTTTATTTTTTTCATTTTTATTTTAAGTACCAGCGTGTGTGTATGCTTTCCAGAGAGAGAAAGAGAGGCAGAGAAAGAGACAGGGAGAATGCAACTGAAAGCGCTGTCACACGGCAACCCCAGAATCCTGCAGTCGGCCATGTAGGATCCAGCTCCTTTAGCCACTAGCCTTCAAGGCTGGCCCTGGAAAGTTATTTTATCTGCATTTTCCCCTGATTTTTTTTTTTTTTTTTTTTTTTTTTTTTTTTTTTTTTTTTTTTTTTTTTCCCGTGTGGTGTTTTTTTTTTTTTTTTTTTTTTTTTTTTTTTGCCACACGGTGTGTGCACTCACCAGACAGAGAGAAAGAAATTGCCCCTCAGGGTGGATGACCAGGCCACAGTCCCTTCTCTGTTCTCCTCCTGGGATTTTGGGTTTGCACGCACACAAACCCAGCAAGATTTTCAAGCCACCAGATCCAAACCTGAACCGTCGTCAGCCATGTGGGAATCCAGTGCCTTAACCAACAAACCACCTACTGGGCTCCCGGAAAGGTTATTTTAAAAGCTACTCTTTTAACATACCTAGAACCATCGATCAATCTTTTACAAATTATTTTTCCTTTCACCCTACCTAGAAAGTGGAAAAGAAAGTTTTTCTCCTGTGTTGCTGGTTTTAATTTGTTTTATCAATGGGGCAGTGAGAACTGCATTGCAGGTTCTCCGCGTTAAACTTCCACACCGTCCCAGCCCCGGCACTGGCCTCCTCCACCGGGTTCATCATGCGTTTCTCCAGCTCCTGATGGAAACGGAGCAGCTTTTTCCCCTGGAGCTGATGCTGAACTTCGCAGTGCTGGGAGCCTCGTCGCGTGCGGTATCTTCTTTCAGAAAGCCTATGTGATCACTGATCAAAAAAGAAACCGGGAACCTTGGGGCTCTGAGGACCCTACTGTACCACCAAGGCTTGGAACGACCAACCAACAATGGCAGCTGCGAAGTGCTGGAAAGGTCGGAGGGCGACCGACTGGCCAGTATTTGCCGCTTCCTCCCTCAGAGTGCTCTGAGCCCAGTGGAACATCTCTGCTCCGGCTAGATTACGGACACCAGTGTGCAGGAACGCTTCGCTACATTTTTAAGGTTCACCTACAGTTTCTTAACTCTGGGTGAGGAATTAAGGGGAGTGCAAAATAATAGTCAAAATTTCAGTCTCTGTGTTTGTTTTCTTGTTGTAAATACGAATTTTGTAAATTGAAATTTTTATAATACCTTTTTTCACAAAAAGTGTAATGATTTGTCAGTTAGATCGTCACCTGCAGTAAAGGACCATTCACACAAGGAGAAAACAGGTAACCCAGTTGTAGGAAGAGTCTACATTTGATATAAGTAACCATTAAAGAGTTAAAGCTCTCCTGGGGACACAGATGGATCCTAAGCTCAACCCCTCCTCCCAAGGCCTTCCCAGGAGAGTGGCGTTTGCCGGGGCCTCTCTGCCATCGCGGCCTGGATGTCTGGCCCACACTAAGCGGGAACTTCGGAAGGAGTTCGGTCCGCCTGCGCCAGGAAAGCTCAGGGCGCAGAACTCACCTGTGCAAGGGTGGAGGCAGTCCAGGGCCCGGGCCACTGGGCTGGCGCTGCCCGCCCGATGCAGCCTCTTCCTGAGCAGGTAGCTCCTGCTCTGCTGCACAGAGGAGCTTTCTTCCACGACGGTTCTCTCCACCTAGGGGCCATGTGCAGGGCATGTCTGCATCCCAAGGTCGGGAGGCGGCATTGACACAGACACGTGCAAACTGACCCTCAGACCAAGTCGGCATGGAACAGTCTGCCCGACAGTGAGAGCTGAGACGTGCATTCTCTAGCAACCAGAACGCGCTCCGCACCCACCGCCCACACTCGCCTGGAGGCAATTTACGAGCCCCCCTGTATTTATGCCCACGCACCCCTTCAATGGCTGGGTTTTCCCACCCAGAGCTCTGCCCTCTCGACTTTAACCCTCCCACCTTCGTGCCCCGACCACCTTCACGGCCGTGCTGACCCCTCACTCCAGTGCACCCCGTTACAGTCTGCTTGCTGGTCCGTTTCCCTAGCCTCACCCTCGCACCAGTGCCTAGTACAGCGTCCCCATGACGGTCGAGGAAGTCATTGAAATCTTTGTGGCCAACGCGGGGTCCGTGAGAGGACGGCACGCACTGGCAGAAGGCTCTCGCATCTCCCACAGCACACACCTCGCCTGCTCATCAAGTCCTCGGGCTCAGTTAACAGGAGCCACAGGTTCACATGCCAAGGCAGGAGCAGTCCAGGGAGGGGGCGGGGTGGGAGGGCCATTTTCTGACCGTGGGCAGCACCCCGCTCAGCCGTCGCCTGGTCTCCATTCACGGGTCCGCCACATTCACCTTGGTCTCAGTTCCCCAACCCGTTCTCAGGCGGTGCAACCTCCCAGCCATCTCTAGCCTCCCCTCCACCCACTTCCTCTCACATCTGTGCTGTGGGCACCTCCTGTCCTCCCCTCACCCCCCCACCCCAGCCCTGTCTGGCCTGATGGGGTCCCAACTCCGTGGTGCCATTCCTTCTCCAGGGCACCCAGCAGGGTCAGGCTGAGGCTGCCCCCAGCTGACCAGGGCTGGTCCCCCATCCTCCCTCCCTCCACCACTCCCCTATCTAGGACCACTTCCCGGAAATAACTTGCATGAAATCCCTGACTCTGGTTAGCTTGGTGGGAACCCGACCTAAGCCAAATGCCTGCCTTGTGCCAGCCACCTTGCCAGGCACTGGGTGGCAAGCAGCCCAGCATGACAAGCTCGGGTACAAGGTAGCGGAGGGAAGGGCAGCCAGGGGAGGGCTTGCTCACATGAAGCCCAGGGGAGAATCGCGATTGCCGAGCATCTGTGGAGATCTCAGGGGTCTTCGTCGTGCCAGGAGCTGGCCTTACCCTGAGGTCGTCCCCAGCACTGCAACAGAACTGCAAAGCTAAGAATGTTCTAGATCCACCCTGCCCAGGGTGGGAGTCCCCAGCCACAAGCGGCAGTTGAGCCCCTGAAATGTGGCAACATGACTGAGGACCTGGTTTTAATTTTCTTTCCCTTTAATTCATTATAATGAGTTCATTTAAATGCCAGTAAGCACTCCTGGCTAGCGGCTACAGCGCTGAGACGGGCGGCCACTCACCTCGCA